TAGGTATTCATATAATCAGAAGGATAAAATCATCGAAATAAACTTATTTTCATGATTCTGTCGGTGGTAAGATACACCGGAAATAGCCTTAGCACAGTAAAGGTAAATCTAAAGTCTATCACGGCCGAGAATATTTTCCCCGTCAATCTCGACGCAAAAAAAAGACGTTACTTTTCAGAGATTGTTTGGCAAAATTCATCGTCGCAAACCACGGCCAAAATGTATGCTCCTCTCCCATTCTGGAGAGAGCTATATGCGGACTCCGGACCGTGGCTTGAGACGATGGGCAAAAATTGTAAAAAGATTAATAAAATAAATAGTTTTGAAGTTTTATTGTTACGAAAACCCATTGGGCTCATTTACGTAGGTTAAAAAATAAAATTTTCGCGTTATAACCACAGATGCTTGAGGACAGGACCCCCCCCCCCCCAGTACAGACCCCCGGGCCTTTTTTGATTTTTTTTCATAAACTATCCTTAAGTAACATATTTATGATGTTATCCATACCATCAAACCGAAAAATTACGAAAAACAAACAGTTTATAAAAATTCGTAACCCACTCTTTATATATATAGTTTTTTATTAGTTTTTAGCTCTACTGGACAGAGACCAGAAGAGCTTATGCGATAGTAAGATGTCGGTCGTCTGTCCGTCCGTCTGTCTGTCTGTCTGTAGACAAGTTTTCAAAACGCTACTCCTCCTACAGTTTTGGTCTGAATTTAATATAACTTGGCACACAAGTAGACTACTCTAAGATACATAAAATAGTGCATCGGTTTTTGATTTCGATGAACGCTGTGAAATTCCTTTAAAATGCTACTCCTTCTACAGTTTTGATCTGATTTCAATATAACTTCGCACACAGAAGACTACACTAAGATACATAAAATAGTGCATCGGTTTTTGATTTCGATGAACGGTGTTCTTCTTCTTCTTCCGATAAAGTACTGACCAGAATTTCTGATGTACTAGCGCATGGTGGTGCAAGGAAAACAAGTTGAAGGTGAATTAAAAAAATAAATATATTTACTGTACAAGTAAAATATATCGGTTGGATTTAAGGTCGGGTGATGTGGCTAGATAGCTTCGATTTGAAGCTATCTAGGGAGGTGGAAGTAACCAGGGATGTTGGAAGAGAGTTCCACACACGAATACCATCCGGAAAAAATGATTTTTGGTACACTAAGGTTCTGGCATAAGGAACCAGGAACATCATGCTGTTTCCCCTGGTTGTAGTGGCTGGATACAGGAGGAGTGGTGGAATGTCGATGAGATGGTACACTATGCTGTACATCATAACAGCTTTTGCTTGACCACGTCGCTCCTGAAGAGATGTCCATCTCAGCTGCTTTAGCATGTCTGTTACGCTACTAGTTGTCCTGTAGTCAGATTTTACTATACGGGCAGCTTGTCTTTGGACCATCTCTAATTTACCAATGCTGTCCCTGGTGTAAGGATCCCAGATGGTACTCCCATATTCCAAGATGGGCCTCACTAGGGTCTGATAACATAGGGCCTTTGTTTCTGATGGACACTGATGTAAATTGCGTCTCAGGAAGGCGACAGTGGAATTGGCCTTCTTTGCAATATGGTGTCACTGTGGTGGTTCGACTTCAGGCCTTGATGGAGATGGATTCCCAGGTATTTAGCTGTTTCAACTACCTCGAGCACATGACCGTGGATGACGTATGGTACGTTTACCACCTTCCTTTTGTTGGTAACATGCAAGACCTAACATTTTCCAGGATGAAATTCCATCATCCATTCTTTCTCCCATCTTTGAAGTCCATCTAGATCTTTCTGGAGTTGTGTAGCATCATCCTCATTTTTGATGTCTCTGTATAAGGCAAAGTCATCTGCAAATAGGCGGACCGTTGGATTTTTGGATACATGGTCTGGCAGGTCATTAATAAAAAGAAGGAATAGAAGTGGTCCAAGGACACTCCCATGTGGTACTCCAGATTTTACAGCAGTCGTACCTGATGTTCTTCCCTCTAATAGAACCTGTTGGATGCATCCATTTTCCATTGCAGATGGCAGCCTCTAATCCCATAGTAGCCATGTTGCCATGGTTACTAAGAATAGAATTTTCTGTGAAATGTCTTTAGAATGCCAGTTTTGATCTGATTTCAATATATCTTGGCACACAAGTAATCTACACTAAGATACATAAAACACTGCATCGGTTTTTGATTTCGATGAACGGTGTTGCCATGGTTACTCAAAATAGAATTTTCTGTAAAATTCCTTTAAAACGCTACTCCTACAGTTTTGGTCTGATTTCAATATTATTTGGCACACAAGTAGACTACACTAAGATACATAAAATAGTGCATCGGTTTTTGATTTTGATGAACGGTGTTGCCATGGTTACTAAAAATAGAATTTTCTGTGAAATTCCTTTAAAACGCTACTCCTTCTACAGTTCTGGTCTGATTTCAATATTACTTGGCACACAAGTAGACTACAATAAGATACATAAAATAGTACATCGGTTTTTGATTTGATGAACAGTGTTGCCATTGTTACTTTAAAACGCTACTCCTTCTACAGTTTTGGTCTGATGGCAATGATTTCTTTTCTTATCCTTTGTTATAAGTACAAACCAGTAGAGTTACAGTCTCGACAGAGACTTCTGGTTTATATATAGAGTGGGTTACGAAGAAGCACTTCTGTTATGAATTTTTAACCTGTGGTATATTATTTTAATACAAGAGTTAATATTTTTTCTGGAAACAAGTGCCCGTGATAAAAAGTTATACATATACATTATTGAGGAAGCGAAAGCTTTATTATTTTAATTTTATATAATTTTTATCTTCTATGATGTACAACATTTTTATTAAAAATTAGGCGGAGTAGTTCCATACTGTAAATGTAAAACTTTTGTTGTATTTCATTAACAAATGTTACAGTAATACTGTTACTGTGAAAATTCTATATTACCCCCCCCCCCTTTTTATTTTTGGAGAAAATTTCTTGATGCAGAGAGCCTCTTTGAAAGGAATCTATATATATCAGAGAAAAAAAAAACCACATTCATCATTTCCATTCAGCTTTTACCCTCATTGAAATATTAACCTTCCTTAAAAGTTTTTCATCCCTCTTTAAAAATGAAAGAAAAAGTGAGCTAGCTCACATACCCCACGCTCCCCCAAAACTTGACGGTGAAACACATAATGAAAGGCACAGTGCACTTTAAATACATAGTATAGATCAAAAAGGGCAATAATTGCAAAAAAATCTTCACATCAAAATGTCTTACATATGAGGACATTTAAATGTGGAATGAAGTTTCTAGATAAATAATGGAATCAAAATTTCTTGGCATTATACAAATCCAAACATTAATTTGAAGTGGTGGGGGGGGGGGGGGGGGAAATTTTCTTGAATAATAGGCAAAACTCTTTGGGATAAAAGAAACTATGTACAACAGTTTAAGAGGAGTGGTGCTAACAAACTGTTCATCTCTATATTCTAAATATGGCCAAAAAGTCTAAGTTGGAAAGTGTGGAAATTCCCGGAAAAATAAAGGAATCGGAATTTCCTGGTAATATGCACATCTACATATTGTGTCCTAAATATCTACAAAGTTTGACGAAATTCTGTGCAGCGGTTTATGAGGAGTTGCGCTGACAAACTGTTCATCTCTATATTCAAGGTATGGCCAAATGCCTAAGTTTAAAAGTGCGGAAATTCCCGGAAAAAATAATGGAATCGGAATTTCCTGGTAATATGCACATCTACACATTGTGTCCTAAATACCTGCAAAGTTTGACGAAATTCTGTGCAGCGGTTTATGAGGAGTTGCGCTGACAAACTGTTCATCTCTATATTCAAGGTATGGCCAAATGCCTAAGTTAAAAAGTGCGGAAATTCCCGGAAAAAATAATGGAATCGGAATTTCCTGGTAATATGCACATCTACACATTGTGTCCTAAATACCTGCAAAGTTTGACGAAATTCTGTGCAGCGGTTTATGAGGAGTTGCGCTGACAAACTGTTCATCTCTATATTCAAGGTATGGCCAAATGCCTAAGTTAAAAAGTGCGGAAATTCCCGGAAAAAATAATGGAATCGGAATTTCCTGGTAATATGCACATCTACACATTGTGTCCTAAATACCTGCAAAGTTTGACGAAATTCTGTGCAGCGGTTTATGAGGAGTTGCGCTGACAAACTGTTCATCTCTATATTCAAGGTATGGCCAAATGCCTAAGTTAAAAAGTGAGGAAAATCCGGGAAAAATAAAGGAATCGGAATTTCCTGGTAATATGCACATCTACACATTGTGTCCTAAATACCTGCAAAGTTTGACAAAATTCTGTGCAGCGGTTTATGAGGAGTTGCGCTGACAAAAAAAGAGGACTGACTGACGGACTGACTGACTGACTGACGGACGGGTCAAAAACATTATACCTGCGCGCGCGCGCGCGCGCGCGCGCGCGCGCGCGCGCGCGCGCGCGCGCGCGCGCGCGCGCGCGCGCGCGCGCGCGCGCGCGCGCGCGCGCGCGCGCGCGCGCGCGCGCGCGCGCGCGCGCGCGCGCGCGCGCGCGCGCGCGCGCGCGCGCGCGCGCGCGCGCGCGCGCGCGCGCGCGCGCGCGCGCGCGCGCGCGCGCGCGCGCGCGCGCGCGCGCGCGCGCGCGCGCGCGCGCGCGCGCGCGCGCGCGCGCGCGCGCGCGCGCGCGCGCGCGCGCGCGCGCGCGCGCGCGCGCGCGCGCGCGCGCGCGCGCGCGCGCGCGCGCGCGCGCGCGCGCGCGCGCGCGCGCGCGCGCGCGCGCGCGCGCGCGCGCGCGCGCGCGCGCGCGCGCGCGCGCGCGCGCGCGCGCGCGCGCGCGCGCGCGCGCGCGCGCGCGCGCGCGCGCGCGCGCGCGCGCGCGCGCGCGCGCGCGCGCGCGCGCGCGCGCGCGCGCGCGCGCGCCCGCAACTAGTTGCGTGGGGTATAATAAATCCTTTATACTGAATTGTTCTTCAAGTTATAATTTCAAAAGATCAAGAATACCAGGTAGAATGTATTTAATCATCAAAATGCCACAGAGTAAACATAAGCAACAGCTGTAAGCAAGTACATAACTGAATTTCCATAAAAAATGAGCCTTGAAAGCTAGAAATTCAACCAGAGATTTATGGAAAATTAAAGCCAGATATTAACCTAACAAAAATTGTGATTTTTTTTTTCAGGACCATTTTCTCAGGAAATTACATTGAACTGTGAGATACTAAGAGGCTTTTTCTCCTTCCTATATTCAACATTATAGAAAAATAATAATACTAATAATAAAATTAAAAATAAATAAAATAAAATGTATTATAAAAATACTATAACATGCATTTAAGTTTTTCCTTGCCATCATTTTTTTTAAATTGTACCAAAGTTTATGCTCTATAATATATACTATAGTAATCCACTTCAAGAAGAAACTTCTGTGATGTCAGAGATCTTTGTTCCTGCTATAAAAATTTTCTAAATTTTATCTGTCTTTTGCTATGCATGATATCTTGTAAACGTTTATAGTATGCATTCACAACCAACATTAAGAAAATCCCAGAAGATCTTCATATACTGGTATTATAATGAGTGTCACTGAAAAGTGGTGTATATATATAGGATCTCCCATGATTTGTAGGATATGATTTTTATCCAACGAATTGAGGGTGTTTTTTTTATCCCCGAGCCTTGGCGACACACGATTTGGATGAAAGTCATAATAGACTACAAATCATTGGAGATTCTTTTTATCCCATGTTTAATACTTCAAAATCAATGTTTTACACTTTTTTTTTATAAAGGACTCCACTTTATATTACTTCATCATGCTAGGGCAAAAACCATTATGACATCACAATTATAGGGCTGTGTATTGAGCAAAAAAAAATTGATACAATAGAATACAATATTTTATAAAGCTATATTCAATATACTGGATTCTTTAAAAGTCTATAAAAAAGTCTTATAATTAATTTAATGCATGAATTTTATATTAAAAAAAACTATTTTTTTTATAACCTTTTTAGAAGTTCTTGTCTCAGTGTCATATCAAAACACACTTCAAATTCAAACTTTTAATGACTGTGAAAACAACATGTTAAATAAAGAAGTGTATGTGCTTTAAAATATTTATCTAAGATGTGTTATCTCCTTAATAATTATAACATTATTGATCAATTTTAATTCAAAACAGTGAAAAATATAACGTTTGCTGATTGAAATTCCTAACTTTTTCACAGAATTATAAGAAAATCTGCCTATCAGATACATATTAGAAGTTATTTTTTCCAAATGATACATTCTTAAATATCGATATGTATCAAATATTTGATACTGTAAACCAACTTTTATTCGTGTGCGAGAAATTTTCGTGAGGTTCGCGAGAGCCTTATCGTCACGAATATTTCTTGCCCGCCCGCGAACCCGTCCTTATAGTCCCTGTGTCCATTTACAACAGATTCAAAGGCTTGATCGCGAAAATTAATCGCCGCAAACTATAGTTACCCCGTAGTAAATCGCAAAATAAAGTCGTCGCGAATGAAAGTTAATTGGTTTACAGTATATAGATGCACTCCCTAATCAGAACACTTAACTGTGGAATATCAAAAAAATATCCACAGGACAAAGGGGTAAATATCGGATAAATATATGAATGCCAAAAATTCAAAGTCAAAAAGCTGATGAAGGATTTCAAACAAAAAAATCATGTTTTAGAGAGACTCAATCCTCTTTTCAACAACAGTGAGTATTTACAACTCATAAGGCAAATGTCTGCCAACAAAAGTAAATTTCCCAGCATTCCTTAGTTCTTCCTCATCATCATCTTCACTGGAGATGTTCAGAACCTCTTCCATCCTAATGTAGTCTTTCAATTTACTAGCTATAGGCAATGTCTCCACATTCTTAAGAAAAGGATGCCTTACAAACAACCTGACATGACAACGGCAAATTTCTTGTAAAGATAGCGGCGTCTTCAAACTTTTTGAAAAAATCTCCAAAATTTCCTTTTTCTCCTCAGCAGAAAAGTGTGTCATTAATTCCTGCGAAGTCCTTAAAATGTTGGATAAAAGTTTGATAACACGCCCTGGTCTTTTACTGTAGCATTTTAAGTACAGTTGAATTAATTTGATGTTTTTGTGAGTGAGGGCTAAGAATAGGGGCTCCAGTTCAAAATGAGGGTGAGAGTCCTGGTATAGGAGACAACACACCATTAATTTCTTCTCTCTACAGTGGGATTCGAGGTCACAGCCATTCTTGATTAAAATCTTGGCGACTCTTGTACTGTTCTCATTTGTGGCTGACATAATTGGAGTCAATCCTTTCTCATTCATCTGTTAAGAAAAATACAGAAAAATGTCAATATATGCTGTATAATGGTTAACTGGAACCAGCTCTTTTTTAAAAATTTATTAGAAAACTATGACCCATGAAACAGAAGAACTAGCTTAGTGGAGTTATCTTTCCTGACACTACTTGCTCTCTGTGCGTTAAAGATACATGTACGTATGTGTTGCACATTTAGATCTATACAGAACATTTAATTTTCATGGCACAGTTATGAATGGTGCACTGGAAATTAAGACTATCTTCATCCTTCCAATATAACCATGATTTTATCATCCTTAAATAGGGTGCAAGTTTAAGTTTTTTACAAATCAAGGATTATGCAGAGGGTGCAATGTTAGGAATCTGATTATCAGCTATTGATAAAATCATTAAATAACAATCTCATCATTCCTAAGAAATAGAAAACAATGATCTGAGGATATCACATGATCATCTACATCTACCATACATGTAGCATTACGGTAATATTCCTTGTACCTACCACATGTATGTCACAGTTGGCATCAATCAGCTGTTGTACGATGTGGGAGAAGTTGTTGACCGTAGCTATGTGGAGGGGGATGGTGGAAGCCTTTGTCCCCTTGGTACTGACCATGGGGAGGGACAGGAGCTGCTCTACCACCTGTACGTTACCTTTCTCACAGGCCGTGTACAGGGGGGTCTGGCCTCTAGCATTTCTGGCATTGGCATCACAACCTGTGGTTTATCAGTAACTACCAGTATTAAAATATTCATTGGCCTGTTACCAGTAGACAAATGGTTTAAACTTTCAAGAAATTCAAATTTCATTTAAACTAATATATTAAAACATCATTTGAAATTATTTTCTTTATCAGAAATATTAATAAATTTCCCAGATTTTTGTGTCTATGTGTATGTAACATTGTTAAGATATAGAAGCATAACAATCAATACATTAGTGTCTTCAAGAATCAACCAATAACACAACATCCCCTCTATTTGTTTCAACTGTCAGAGATAAAAAGTATTCAGCACAAAGAATTTGGTCAGTGATGCATGGTTTGTTGAATTAATTCCAGAACACCTGATCCAGGGGGTCATCACTTTCATAGTTTTGAAAGAGGCACCCTTGCTATCATAACGATGCACTTTGTTTGCTCAATATCAAGGTGCAGATCAAGGAGAGTATTTTTAAAGAATTAATGTATTTTCACTATTTAATAGAACTCCATACTAACACCAGAACCTTTGAACCAACAGCCATGGTTTTCACAATTTTGGTAAAGGCATCCTTGCTCATTATAACCACAAATGTCTCAGATGATCTTTTACAGCAATGAATGAATCAAGGTCATGGACAATATTTCTTACTATATTTATAGACTGAAACACCTGTAATACCTGAGTTAATGAGGAGGAGGGCAGCTTCTGTGTAATGTTGAATTATGGCTTCATGGAGTGACGTCAGTTGCTGGGTTTTCTCCTTCAAATCCAGGTTACTCCCAGCACTGATCAAGGCTTTGATAATCTACAAATTTAAATAAAGAAACTTTATAAGTTTGGTATGAATAGTAAAATTATATCAGCAGGTAAACGTTAATGACTTCACAGTGGCGGATCCAGAAGTTCATGTGTGTGGGGGGGGGGGGGGGGGGGGGGGGGGGGTTGAGGCCCAAAGGGCCGAAGGGGGAGGGCATTGGAGGGGGTATCCCCCTCCCATAGGTGGGGGTTCAAAATTAAAATTTTGCTTTAAATGGTTCTAAATGGTGCATTTTTCAGCATTTGGGGGTACTTTTTGTAGCTTTCTTAAAGATTGATCATCACAATTTCTTTATAAAATGTTTTCAATTTAATTTAACTTTAACACAAGACTTTAGACTTTGCTTTAAAAAATTGTTAAATCTGCCAATTTTAGGAATGCAAGCAGTTGAGTTCAAGTTGTCTTTACTTTATATGCACCTACAATTAATTTAGTCCTGTCAAGTTGACTTCCAAGATATAATTAGTCTAATGTGCAAAATTTTTAAACACTAAAAAAAATAAAAATTGAATTATTTTCAGAATCGCTAACTAGTGCTTTTCAACTTACTTGAGTATATACTGTTAATATGATTTGGAATATAAACACATGTGTTCAATTAATGAAATTTCAAACTGAAGAAAAAATTACATAAATTTAACTGGAGAATCTGTCAAAACTAGAGGGGTTTGCTAAGCCAACCTGGTTTTGTTAAAAAAAATATATTAATTTTAATTTTTAAAACAGTAACAAAAACTAAATAATAGTTTATCCATAGTTTAAAAGACATGCATTTTATCAGCAAAAGAATATTACTGAGCAGCACTGTAACTATGCAGTTTTCTGTTGTTGGTAGCTGACTACATTGTACTGTGACCTTGTGACTTCACTAGATGCACAGACTACCCGATCTCTGAGGCACTCTCTCTGTTGATTACCTGTGTATTGTGTGCGTTCAAGTGGAAAGTGATTTCCTGTTACGTAGTTGTATATTTCACAGTTGTAAAAACAAAGGGTTCATGTTTATTAGAGTCTTATCAATGCAACAAAATGATGAAATGACACTTGTAAAAAAAGAACAAAAAAATTCAATGAGCGGGGGGTTTTCCCCGAACCCCCCAAACCCCCCTGAATCCGCCACTGCTTCTTTTTTTTAAATATCCATGGCATGTGTATACCTTGATGTTGACTCTCGACAAAATTGCTGAAAACAAGGGACTTTCCCCTTTCTTGTTGACTTCATTCACTCTGCAACCTGAAATTATAATCTCATTGTCATTTTTTCTGATGGGATTTCAATATTTTGTGAGAAGTTTTTTTTACAGAGAAATAAGGAAGTTAACTTTGCATTTAAGATTTTCACAAATGCATAATTCCAAATGAAATACATCATAGAATTTTAAATAAATTTTAAGAGAAAGTGGCAGTAACTAATTTGATTTTTTAGAACCTACCAGCAGCTATCAACAAATCCACAAGTGTGCCATTGTTTCCATAGACCCCAGCATGTAAAACTGTATCGCCGGAGCTGGTGGCTATGTTTACATCTGCCTTCCGATCTAACAACAGGGTAGATAACTCTACAAATACACAGATTTCTTTTGCAATGAGGAAAACTACATATAGTCTTTATACAAAATCAAGATATTGAAAGAACATTGTCATTTTGATTCTTTGACAATAATCATTTTTGCATTATAAATGGCACAATTCATATTGCTATACTTGATCTGTACAAGGAAATTTGTCCTTCTTATTAATATTATCTTTCATTACAAATCAAAAATGCTTGTAAATTAATGTTAGTAACCAGCATCTTATTGTATTACATGCATCAATGGTATGTGTACATCTAATGCACACTTGTAAATTTATGCAATACCAGCATTGTACTGTATTCACTGATATGTGTACCTCTAAAGCATGCATGCTGCCCTTGTACCTAAGTTTCCTGCATAAGCACTCTGATACAGCGGTGTCCAGCCCTGGGAGTCCTGCTTATTGATATCTGCTCCTCTGTTGATCAACTCCTTCACAATCTCCATAGCCTGCCGGTCAAACTCCCGACCAAACACACTAGACACTGAAAAAATTTACATTTCATAAAAACAATTCAAAGAAATTTTAGTCACGTTTTTAAAATTGAATGTAGTTGACATCTTTTAGAAGATTTCATTTTTTAATGATATCCTCCTCCAACTGCAAGCAGAAAGCATATGCCATGAAGAATTTGGAAAGTTCTTGTTAATACAAGAAAGTATTGCACACAAATGGGGCAATAATAGGTACTGTCTGGGACTAATCATTCCATCATAACTGCAAACACTAATATCTAATACGATTGTATTAATTCAATGTAGATTACAATATATTACAATATATTTAATGCTCAATGTTACATGAACGAAAACCCTATTATTGACATTATCAACCCTACAAGTATTGAAACTGCTACGAGAGTATGTAACTTTTTGAAAAAGTGCTTTGATATTAGGAAAGAAAACCTTCAACAAACCTGATATGCTTTCTTTGATATTTTATTTTATGTATGTTAATTGTTGTATTCATGACTATATGCCAGTGTATGATGGTGTTGTCAATAAATGAATTGAATACTAGAAATAGTTATATCTAGTACATTAGTTTGACAACAAAATGCTTCAAACCTTGTCTGATTGCAGCATGAATTGGAGCTTGTTTGTGTTTGTCTGTTTGGTTGACATCTGCTCTAGCCTGTATTAGGGCTGTGGCTGAGTTCCAATGAGATCCTGATATAGACTCTGAAAATGTCACAAATCATTACAGGTGAGAAATATTATTATACCTCTACTGTTTAACTCTATAGACAATTAATACCATAAAACTCTTTATTTCCCCGAGAAGAGACTATTTCTTCCATCTGAGGACTATGCCCTGAAAAATCAGAGCTACACTCTCATGATTATTTAGTTTTATTAATGCCTATGATTGTTTCAGAATAATAAAACAGTTATGGAATGGGTACTCTGGAAATAGTAAATTTATGGTTCCCCTCCGCAGGAAACTATTTCCCTCGGGGAACCACAAATTTGCTATTTCCCTCATACCAATTCCATAACTGTATACATGTACTATTGTCACATTTTCACCCCACCCCCATCACCCCAAAGATTTCTGATTCCTTTACCTACCTATCAGAGGTACCTTGCCACTAGTTGTAGTTAAATTGACATCAGCTCTGTGATTGGCCAGTTCTTTAATGATATCACTATGGCCTTCATTGGCAGCCAATAAAATTGCTGTTTCACTGGATCTATTCTTTAAATTGACTTTTGCTCCTGAAATTATATTAAGAAAATAATATTAAAATCATATTAATTTACATTTGCAGATATTTCAAAAATACCTATCCCTGGGGATCGTACATGACAGAATGAAGAACTGCTTTAAACTGAACAACAGAAGTACATGCACGTAACAAGGAAAAATACTCATTCTCCATGATAAACTTTTGAAAATTTATGTTCAGTCTTTAATATTGCATTGGTGTTTAAAATTAAGAATCTATATTGCATGAAAATAATTTTTAGAGATATAAACCTTTATCAAGAAGAATTCTAGCCACTTCTGTGAAACCTAATTCACTTGCCACCATGAGAGGTGAATTGAAATCTGTATCAATGAAGTTTATGTCACATCCAGCATCAACTAGCCTCTGGACACACCCAACATGTTCATTCCTCACTGCTGCATGTAACGGGGATTGACATTGAGCATTCGGAAGGTCAAGGTCACACTGTGAATCCACTAGGACACTGACAATATCCAGATACCCTTTATAAGCTGCGGTGTACAGTGGGGTAGATTCGTGATCATTTTGAGCATTGAGATCTGCTCCGCTTTTGACTAGTAATTTTACAATATCTGTGAGGCCTTTCCAACAGGCTGTGTTCAGTACGCTGTTTTTCTGAGCATCAGAAACATTGACATTTGCCCCTTTCTCCATCAGTTTCTGACATATTTTGTATTCGCCTTCTTTCACGGCCAGCTGAAGAGCTGTCTGACCCCTATACTGAAAATCTACTTCAAAATCCTCTTCTAGTAATTCCTGTATTTTTATTTGGTCTCTTTGAAGAATCGCATCTTGAAGCTTTCGAATTCTCCTCCTCTTTTCTCTTTTTTCAAATCCGTTCCGAGATTTATCTGAAATTGAATAAAAGTTTCTAAATTAGCACTTCAGACTTTAAATGCATCATTTATACTACATGTACTATATCCATTATTTAGTATTTACTTTGGTTACACATATGTTAGACTGTATAGCATGTGTGAGAATAGTGGAGATGCACTTTCTTGAAATAAAAAAAAAATACCTCAATTTTCAAAACTCTGAAGGAATGGAATGTCTTGCCCTCCCCTTTTCAACTTAATTCTATTTCTCCCTGTCACTTAAATAAAACTTTGTTACAGTTCAATTTTAGTGCCATTGTCAATAATGTTATCATAAAAATATACTTTAACTTGTTTTAAAGTTTACTTTAAAATTAATTGCGTTGAAAATTCGTCTGCAGTTTTTTCTCGTTTTAGCATGCCATGCATTCTTTTCCTTATATGGCCTTGTTCGATATGCATTGCATTAAAACTGAAATGAAATTCATTTGAATTTATCAACAAGGCTGATATAAAAAATGCAGACAACGGAAAAATAACTGCACAATTTCTACAATACCTTGCGATCTATCGCGAATTCGTAGTTCACCATTGTCAGTCATGGCGCAAGAGTTATCTTACTTGTGTTTATTTTCGGAACCCCTCTGCGTTTTTAGGAAAATTGATTAGCTCGTTCCATAAAATATTCCATCATATTCATTCCCAACACTCAGATTTGACAGATTAATGATGAGTGTTATCGGGGTTTAATAAATTATATAGTAAGAAAACACATTATGGCCACAGAGATATCTTTTATGAATGTATTATAACAACTTGTTATAACAAATCCTTTCATCTGTGAAAAAAAATCATTTTATTACAACAGTTTAAGGATAGGTCCGCACTTTTACGGATCCAGTTTTACATTTACACACCCATTATAAATCCTTATTGTCACTTTTCTATGGAAATGATTTTACTACATGATGATTTAATTGTAAAGAAAATATTTAAATGTTACACGGATAACATGCATATCGTGTCATTATGCATGTAAGACATTGAATATATATATGAATTACTCATAAAAATAAGCGCACAAAGGTATGTCTTTTACGGGCAGTTTGGTTATAGTTTAATTATGAGTTATTTAAAGTATTCCAATGAAAAAATTAGTTTGACGGAAATATTTAAGAGCCTGAACCTACCTTAATGTTAAGGAAGGACCATACTTTAATGGATCCAGATTTACTTTTATACACCCATTATAAATCCCAATTGTCATTTTTCTGTGGAAATGATTTAAGGAATGAAGCTGAATTCAACTACGTAACTCATTGTGATGTAGGCAACTTATGTTATACAAAATGGATTAAATCTTTTACCCAATCAAATGACGTGTTACAACTAAAATTAAATTATTACCTGATAATTTAACTGTAAAGTAACAATTTAAATGTTATTACAGTATTAGTGTCATTGTATGTAAGACATTGGATATAAACTAATAATTTAATTTTACTTGTAACACGTCATTTGATTCTGGGGGTCCAACTGTTTTCACTGCCAAATTCTTTCAGTACCAATTTTTTTTGCATACAATACTAATTCCCCAGATATCACTTTACTGTACTAAAAAGTGGGGAGCCAACAAGCCTTTCAATGAACATTTTCAATAGTAAAAGTAATGTTGGGGGAAAAGGGGGATAGCTCCCCCCCCCCCCCCCGATGCTACGTGCCTGAAACAAACAGATAAACAGACAAACAGACAGGACAAAAACAATATACACCCTGGATTTATCGATCAAGGTGCATAAAAATTAAAAATACACAAAAACACACCATTCATTCAATTTTATAAGATTTTATCTACTGTAACTTTAGTCAATTAGTGTTCAACACTTAATTATAAAAAACATGTAATTTCTTAATAGCTCAAAATGTATACACAGTTATCTACTTACACTAGAAAATACAGATCAAAATCAAATTCCAAAAAAAAAAACAAAATCTTACAAACATAAATATCGAGAAGGTATATTTTATACATGGTTGGTCTACAAATAATACTCAAACCCTTTATAAATTTTATCTTTTAGGTTCTGTGACAAAATATTGACACAATGGACAAATTTGACATTGAATTATTACTTTCATAAAATGAAATTACATGTTTTAATTTTTCAAAAAACAACAATAGCAAACGCTGATATTTTCAAATTCAAAGTGTTCCTGAAACAAACAAATATATAATCATATTAAATTTTTATCATGATATTACTCTGCCTTTAATTCTTCCTCCATTGCTGAGTACTGAGCCCTGAGTTCTGCCATTTTGAGTCCAATTGTTCTAGTCACTTCCTTTTTTTGATTTTCATTTAATTCTATTAGAAATTTTTCATACAATTTAATTGTATCAGCGACTGCCTTTGAAGCCTCTTGCATGTCTTCTGTGAAGTACACTGTGTTCATGCTTTCCTGCTGTAAAAGTAGAAATAACAAGAATTAAATGTTTTAGAAATAAATATGAGTCCCTACCTCTTATGGCAAAATTAAAAATGTGTTTTGTCTGTAATATTAGTGGAAAATGGGTAACCTTACGATCTCATTTGTCAGCATCATTACAACATAAGGTTGCAATTATAATGCACTTGTTACGGGCTTTTTGTCATAGAGAGTATTACCGGTAATGTGATTGGTTGAGGGATAAGAAAAACAATCAAGAATTGTATTTTCCCTGAAAGAGTCAGGTGGTGACCAGATAGCTCAGTAGATCACCTGACTGGAGATTCAATGTGTATGGCTTTGAATCAATCCCTTCTGGTTTGTCACATTTTTCTCCATTCCTGTCAAAGTTTAAAAATATAGCAGTACCCAAGTGTGACTTTTCTCAGAAGCTGAAAAATGCATACATCTAAATCAAGCTATATACTATAGTAGCATTATCAGCAGGGGATGCTCACTCCCCCATGACACCCGATCCCACCTCTCATGTTTTGGAGGTCTGTGTTTGCTCTGTTCCTATTTTGTATTGTTTTATGGACTTTTGATCTTGAATACTGTTCGTAATCTCGATATGTTTTATACTTATTTCAAGCTCTATGAAGCTATATCAAGAAACTGTTATACTTAATGGTGGAATCGTACGTTTAATTGATTAACCTTCCTTTCATCTAGTTTTGCTGCTTTTGAATTAGTATGGCATTTTTGTATATTTACAAATGACAGATACTAATTTATATTTAAGATAACTAGAACTTACAGCATCCTGCATGAGTTCTCTGGCCTCCATAAAACAATCAGTCAACTCTTCTGTGCGCTTTTTCACATCATGATCACTCAGATTGGAGTAACAGATGATTGGGACGCGATTAAAACATTGTAACCCATACCTCAGTCGATCATTTGCATGTGAATTCAAGCTCTTGAACGTCCTATATCTAAAAGAAAAGTGCGAAAATTGAAGTACCCTTCGAATTATTTTCATGTTGTAGGGTTAAATTTCTCATCGGAAGTAAAGGGTGAACACTAAATTATAAACCAGAGCAAGACGGATATATCACTAATGACCTGATTTTAAATTTTAAAGCTATTTCGAAGTATTTTGCACGTAACATATGAATTTAAATCTAAATTTACAATTATGCTTAGAAAAGTACAACTGTATGAAAATGTTAAGAAGAAAATATGATAACAGAAAAATAAAACGAATACAATATTGTTTTACGTGTTTAATAAAAGTCTTTCGGGACGTTTCTAGGGTTATATGGACAAATTTACGTAAACATTTCTCCAAGTATTCTAAGAACATGTCCAACTACTCAAAAATTTCCTGGTTTCTTTATAAAAAAGGTCAGTAGCTAGGAAGTAAATTACAATGAAGGAAGCAAATTTTGTATACATAAGCACATTGTACAAATGTAATTTGCGTTTTCAATATAAAGCATAACTGTGTTTAGAGAAGTATCCTATCGAAAGTTCAACTGTTCAAGTGTTCAACAGGTAAACCACAAAGGTACATATTTTGTATATATTGATATTAGAAGTAAGTCATAAGTTTAATTTTTTTTCATTGTATTTTTTTCTTGAAAAATGTTTTTTAATGAATGCCGAATTTTTGCAGGTCTGGCACAAACTTTTTCTAAGAAATCACCCAGCAATATTTCTCATATAGGTTTATATTTTGATGGCATTATCCTGTTATTGACTTCGCGAAGTTGTTGACGTTAACGTCAAATTCATCCCAGGTCATTTTTATACTTCCAACATTCTCAGATTTTCATATCGCTTATAACAGTTTCAATGCTGGGTTCGTAATGTTCACATTGTTTACAACTATTTTACCCACTGAAGTGAAACAAATAACAGGAGTATATATCGTTCGACAAGGGTATTTAAAGCCTTTGTATTTCACCATGAAGCGAATCACATAACGGGAGTAAATAGCGACGCAAGTAAAGCCCAGAACTAATTTGATTCGCGAATCAAATAACAGGAGTATATATAGAGAGACGGAGGTACTATTTAAAGTGTATGTATTTCACTGAAAGCGAATCAAATAACAGGAGTATATATAGAGAGACGGATATCATTCTAAAAGGTACAAGAAGGGGAAGATTTCCCCGGGAAAAGGGTTTCTTTGGGGGAGAGATAAAATAAAAATGGGGCTTGGTTTTTTTGGGGGGATCATTCTTAAAAATGCACGTTTTAATGAAAAGCGAATCAAATAACAGGAGTAAATAGCGAAGCAAGTAAAGCCCAGAACTAATTTGATTCGCGAATCAAATAACAGGAGTATATATAGAGAGACGGAGGTACTATTTAAAGTGTATGTATTTCACTGAAAGCGTATCAAATAACAGGAGTATATATAGAGAGACGGATATCATTCTAAAAGGTACAAGAAGGGGAAGATTTCCCCGGGAAAAGGGTTTCTTTGGGGGAGAGATAAAATAAAAATGGGGCTTGGTTTTTTTTGGGGGGATCATTCTTAAAAATGCACGTTTAAATGAAAAGGGAATCAAATAACAGGAGTAAATAGCGACGCAAGTAAAGCCCAGAACTAATTTGATTCGCGAATCAAATAACAGGAGTATATATAGAGAGACGGAGGTACTATTTAAAGTGTATGTATTTCACTGAAAGCGAATCAAATAACAGGAGTATATATAGAGAGACGGATATCATTCTAAAAGGTACAAGAAGGGGAAGATTTCTCCGGGAAAAGGGTTTCTTTGGGGGAGAGATAAAATAAATATGGGGCTTGGTTTTTTGGGGGGGATCATTCTTAAAAATGCACGTTTTAATGAAAAGGGAATCAAATAACAGGAGTAAATAGCGACGCAAGTAAAGCCCAGAACTAATTTGATTCGCGAATCAAATAACAGGAGTATATATAGAGAGACGGAGGTACTATTTAAAGTGTATGTATTTCACTGAAAGCGTATCAAATAACAGGAGTATATATATATAGAGAGGGATATCATTCTAAAAGGTACAAGAAGGGGAAGATTTCCCCGGGAAAAGGGTTTCTTTGGGGGAGAGATAAAATAAAAATGGGGCTTGATTTTTTTGGGGGGGATCATTCTTAAAAATGCACATTTAAATGAAAATCGAATCAAATAACAGGAGTAAATAGCGACGCAAGTAAAGCCCAGAACTAATTTGATTCGCGAATCAAATAACAGGAGTATATATAGAGAGACGGAGGTACTATTTAAAGTGTATGTATTTCACTGAAAGCGAATCAAATAACAGGAGTATATATAGAGAGACGGATATCATTCTAAAAGGTACAAGAAGGGGAAGATTTCCCCGGGAAAAGGGTTTCTTTGGGGGAGAGATAAAATAAAAATGGGGCTTGGTTTTTTTGGGGGGATCATTCTTAAAAATGCACGTTTTAATGAAAAGCGAATCAAATAACAGGAGTAAATAGCGAAGCAAGTAAAGCCCAGAACTAATTTGATTCGCGAATCAAATAACAGGAGTATATATAGAGAGACGGAGGTACTATTTAAAGTGTATGTATTTCACTGAAAGCGTATCAAATAACAGGAGTATATATAGAGAGACGGATATCATTCTAAAAGGTACAAGAAGGGGAAGATTTCCCCGGGAAAAGGGTTTCTTTGGGGGAGAGATAAAATAAAAATGGGGCTTGGTTTTTTTTGGGGGGATCATTCTTAAAAATGCACGTTTAAATGAAAAGGGAATCAAATAACAGGAGTAAATAGCGACGCAAGTAAAGCCCAGAACTAATTTGATTCGCGAATCAAATAACAGGAGTATATATAGAGAGACGGAGGTACTATTTAAAGTGTATGTATTTCACTGAAAGTGAATCAAATAACAGGAGTATATATAGAGAGACGGATATCATTCTAAAAGGTACAAGAAGGGGAAGATTTCTCCGGGAAAAGGGTTTCTTTGGGGGAGAGATAAAATAAATATGGGGCTTGGTTTTTTGGGGGGGATCATTCTTAAAAATGCACGTTTTAATGAAAAGGGAATCAAATAACAGGAGTAAATAGCGACGCAAGTAAAGCCCAGAACTAATTTGATTCGCGAATCAAATAACAGGAGTATATATAGAGAGACGGAGGTACTATTTAAAGTGTATGTATTTCACTGAAAGCGTATCAAATAACAGGAGTATATATATATAGAGAAGGATATCATTCTAAAAGGTACAAGAAGGGGAAGATTTCCCCGGGAAAAGGGTTTCTTTGGGGGAGAGATAAAATAAAAATGGGGCTTGATTTTTTTGGGGGGATCATTCTTAAAAATGCACATTTAAATGAAAATCGAATCAAATAACAGGAGTAAATAGCGACGCAAGTAAAGCCCAGAACTAATTTGATTCGCGAATCAAATAACAGGAGTATATATATAGAGAGACGGAGGTACTATTTAAAGTTTATGTATGTCACTGAAAGCGTATCAAATAACAGGAGTATATATAGAGAGAGGGATATCATTCTAAAAGGTACAAGAAGGGGAAGATTTCCCCGGGAAAAGGGTTTCTTTGGGGGAGAGATAAAATAAAAATGGGGCTTGGTTTTTTTGGGGGGGGATCATTCTTAAAAATGCACGTTTAAATGAAAAGCGAATCAAATAACAGGAGTAAAAAGCGATGCATGTTAGCCTAGAACTAATTTGATTTGTTCCATTTATGCATTTTTATTAAAAGGAATAAACGGAACAAAGTTATAAAAGTAAGGTGCAAGAATTCATAATTTGGTTTATTCCGTTTATGTATTTCTCCAAAATATGTCGCCATAAGGGATAAACGGAATAAAGCCATAAAATTAAAGTACAAGAAATCATAATTTGGTTTATTCCGTTTATGCATTTCTCCAAAATATGTCGCCATAAGGAATAAACGAAATAAAGCCATGAAATTAAAGTACAAGAAATCATAATTTGGTTTATTCCGTTTATGTATTTCTCCAAAATATGTCGCCATAAGGAATAAACGGAATAAAGTCATAAAATTAAAGTACCAGAAATCATAATTTGGTTTATTCCGTTTGTGTATTTGTCCAAAATATGTCGCCATAAGGAATAAACGGAATAAAGCCATAAAAGTAAGGTGCAAGAAATCATAATTTGGTTTATTCCGTTTATGCATTTTTCCAAAATATGCCGCCAAAAGGAATAAACGGAATAAAGCCATTAAATTAAGGTGAAATAAATTTAAAAGCAAACAGGTCATCATTGTCTTATGTATTTATTGTCTATATTTAGGCAATTCTTACATCGGGGAAAAGTGTAAAATCACATAAGAACCCAAAGGTAAGAATTTGACGTTAACGTCAACAACGTCAAACTTATTGACTTCGCGAAGTCAATAACAGGATAATGCCATTTTGATAAGTACTGAGTAAGCTAAATAATGTTTACCAGGTAAACTGGGAAATTTATGCAAGATTTTGTCACAATGTTAAAAATGGGAGCAAAATTTTATATAGAATTTCATAGTAACGACTGATATTTAACCTATGTTTAATAAGAAAAATTAAAATTTCTTAGTATTTTAGGAATTTATAATTATGTCATATCCATTCAAAATCAGGCCAAAAATGTATATCAATTCATGTGTAAACATTTGTGTGTGTTGTAAGCCCATAAAGTTAGAGATTCTGCTGAGAAATATGTACTATTTGCAGCTCATGTACTTTAACCATATAGCAAATTACACATTAAAAAAAATCATTTTTTTATAATAATAATTGCAGTTTTTTTTCCAATATATTTGATTTTGTATTTTGAGGTTAAAAATTTTGCCTCTAAGATATCTTTTGAAATAATCTAGTCAAAATGATCAAACCCCTAAACATCAGTTTTCCATCCCATTATATGCAATTATTAATTTTTTGACAGCTTTTTTTAGGTTCTAAAAAAAGTTATAATGAAATGAAGTGATGAAAATGAAATATTTCAAACAAATTTAACAGAATCTAATCAGGATGTTAGAGTTATCTCTCTTGGAATGGGGTTTTCTCCCTTTTTGCATTTTAAGACTATAGCTTCCCGAGAGCACAGTGAGTACCTGCTGTTGCAGCATTATCAGTCAATGATATCCTGAAACTACACTTGTATGTGTACTTATAATTTAGTCAGACCTGTTTTATGTTCAACATGTTTTTGATATTTGGTAACATATGTGATGGAAAGAAGAAACAGATATTTAAAGTGAACATAATATAAAATGATCTGGAAAAAAATATTTATTTTAAAGTAAATATTATATAGAATGATCTGGAAAAAAATTATCTTGATGCAGCTCTAAACTTTTGAATCAGGATTTTCCATATAGCATTAATTATCCAATTCTATATATAGCAAGAAAA